GTTGACCCCCCTACTTTCAGCCAGCTAGGGTTCGTCACGCGGTAAGGGTACAACGGTAACGAATTTATCCTTGTGTCTGGTCTCCGCTGTGGGTTTTGACTCCTTTCTTACCGACCCACGGGCGTCCCCAGAGGGAACCGACCCTGTCATGAGACGCACAGTCGAACACGCTCCCTCTCACTTATTTAAAGTGAAAGAGAACGCAGTTCGCTCGCGTCGGATACAGCCTGTACTCCGGGCGGTCCCTCAGAGTCTTCCATCTGTATGACTTGGTGAGCCACGCTTTTGGGGTGAGGCGGAGTATCATCATCGATCCCAGTGATACAATGTAGATACCCCCACCCTTGATCCTAAAGCGACCACCTAAGGTTGCTTCAGCACTTATGGGATCACGGGTGTCGGGATCCAAAGCAACCCAGTCGACACGGTTCTCCCTGTGGTTCCGGTTTGGAGACAGCAGGTGACCGATCCCTGGACCTTTCCAGGTGGTGACATCCTGTTACGGGATACCGCTGAAATCTCCATTTCCCCCCATCAGTGTATCCTCTGTTGGACACTGCCAGGGGACTCAATCAGAACGGAAGTAGCAGTTTGCTGGGAAAAGGCGCCATACACAGGGTACATCAGCCGGAACTAAGCCCAGGCTTTACCCAAATGTGTTTGTAGTCCCAAATCTACAAGTGGCGGGCGTCCAGTGTGGACCTAGGCAGACTGAATCAGTCCGTGCTCCTCGATCAGTTCCACATGGAGACACCATTCAAGGTTCTCCTCTCCATCCACCGTTTCGAATGGCTGGCCCCATTAGACTTAAGCGGGGCCTACCGGCACATACCGATGCACCCAGCGAGTTGCCATCTCCTTCGAATTGCCCAGCTGGGCCAAGTATTCGAATTTTGGGTGCCCCCCCCCCTGTTCGGGTTAGGCACAGCACCCTACGTGTTCACCCAAGTGATGAAACAGGTAGTGCTGCTGCTTCACCAGAGATCGGTACACCTCAATCCGTACACAGACTACTGGTTACTAACAACCCGGGCAAGGGGTTAATAGCCTAACACGTCAGGCTAACACAGGATTTACTTCACCAGTTGGGCTCGTTAGTAAATAGCCAAGTCCCACCTCGACCCAATGCGCAGTTGGTGTCCCTGGGCATGGAGTTTTGACACAGAGGTAAGCTTGGCTTATCAAGCGTGTTGCTTAGCGCTAAGCAGCCTAGCCGAATGCCTAGTCAGCGTTCCCTCAGTGTCCCTACGAGAACTAATACAGATCATCGGAATGATGATCTCAGTTCAAAGGGTCGTTCCCCAGGCCTCACTACGCAGCCACCCGGTATAACGCTTGTTATAACGCCTATGGGATAGGCGAGTTTCGTTCTCGGACCAAGTGAAGGAAGCCCTGTCCTGGTGGTCGTCACTGGCCAGCCTCTGACAGGAGTGCCCCTTGGACCCGCTCGCCACAGGTATGACTCTGGTAACAGATACCTCCCCCAGGGTTGGGGAGTGCATCTATTGGACCAACAAGCCCAAGAATATGGTCCCCGCATTAGTTTCGGAACTACCATATCAACCGGCTCGAACTGAGAGCGGTGTACTTAGCACTACCACGCTTTCTACCCGTAGTTCGAGACCACAGAGTTCTGCTCCGCACAGGCAACGTAGAGGTGGTCTCCTTCAAGAGGGGGGGGCGCCTTCCCCATCGTGTCAGTACTAGTGGAGCAGATCCTCCTTTGGTGCCTGGAATACTATGTGGAGCTAACCGCACACCACCTTCCAGGGGTAAGGAACAGTCTGGCGACGCCCTTTCAGGACGACTCCGTCTCCGGAACACGGAATGGCTGATACCCCAGTGGGTAGCTCCATGCTGTTTCGGTTGTGGGACGGTCCAAGGTTGGACCGGTTTGCCGCACCCCGGAACGCCAAGCTCCTGACGTACGTAACACTCCTGCTGACTCCAGGAGCCTGGGCCAGGGTCACTTTGCTAACCCCGTGGATCCACTTAGTTGTGTACGTCTTTCCTCCTTTCCTGTTCACCGTGCACCGGAGAAAACTTCGACACCCCCGCCACTCTAAATGTACGGGAACAAGACTAGCCGATTGTCGTATTATTAGGAGACTATTTACTGCTTTCCGGACGCCAAGACCCCATACAAGGGAGCTGCCCAACTAGGACTCGTCGGCTTTGTTGTCTGCTCTAAGCAAACCGCCCTTTGAGCCTCTCCAATCAGCACCACTCAAATTTTTGACGTGGAAAATAGTCTTCCTACTGGCCCTTGCCTCAGGTAGGCGTCAGCCAGAGCTGGGGGTGGGGGCATTGTCCTTCTCGGAGGATGGACCGCCGTTATGGACAATCAAATAGTGCTAAAGACACAAATCTGGTTTCTCGCCTAGAACCAAATCCCAGGACACGATCCTCACCGATCGTCATCCCCCGGCTGTCAAATTTTGTCTGCCTGGAGGGTCAGGAGGAATTGCTTTTCTACCCGGTTCAAGCACGGAGTTGTCACCAAACCGTACTAAGGATTTGGAACGGGGTGCCAGGCACACATCTTTGTGTTATGGCCCAGGCAGGCAGGATAGGCCAGCCTCCCCAACTTCCATAACCAGGTGGTTTACTGCGACTGTATTAGAGGTCTAATACTTTATATTCCTCGACACAGAGCTCACAGAGACAACAAGTACGAGCGCATGAGGTCTGTGCGATGGCTAACTTGCTAGTGCTAGCGTCAGGCGCCCCCCCCCCCTCGAGCACACATGGAGGGCAGGCTTCTGGAGAACGCAGAGCGTCTTTATCAACTACCACCTAAGAGACACTGAATCCATTGAAAAGGGTCTCTCTAGGTTGGGTCCTGTCGTAGCGGGTCAGTCTTGGTTTGCTGACCCAGTCTGAACGACCGCTAGGGTCCCTGCGCATAGGCAATAAGTCAGTCCGGCATTTTATGCGGACAGATTTCTCTACCATCAGCACTCCCCTGGGAGCTCCCAGGTCCCGCTTTGCGGCCTATGCCCTCATGCAGAACTGTTTCAGTCTTCGAAAGCTTACTACCCCCCAGAATTTGGTTGGGGTCTAGCTTTCTCGGGCACACCGAACCCTGTCACTGTAGCAGCATTTTGGCTTCTTGCTCTGGGACAGCACAGGCAAGGTAAGACACCACCCTTTTTTGAGTCTTAACTATGGTGTTGAGTTTATTTTCATCCCGGACTGGGAAAAGACTTTCATCATTTTTTCTGTTTGCTCGGAAAAACCCGCACCTATCGGTGTCTGACTCTGCCTACAGTTCAAAATAGTCATTTTGACTGACCGTAGTCTATTGTGGGCAATTGAATGTAGTGAATTTAGGTGA